ATTAAAATGAGGGGTAGCAAAGGAAAAAGCTTATACTGAGTTGTATGTGAGACTGGACGCTGAGGAAGGAGAAAGGGACTTGTGGTGATTGGCTGCAGACAGAGATTGAGTATGTGCAGCGTGATTAAGAATGGAGATGGAAATGTGCAAACAAATGATGAGTGTTGAAAAGGTGAAAGGAGGACTTTGATGAGCTGATTAATGTAGAAAATATGAGAGGATATGAAAATAAACAACCAAACAGGAGGAAAAGAAGACCACAGAAAAGATTCATGGATGTCATGGGCCAAACAGAGGTTTGACAGAGAAGCATGCTCGGGATAGGGTGACATGAAGGCAAATGATCCACTGTGGCGATCCTTAAAAAGAGCAGCCAGAAGACGAGTAGGAAAATAAAGACAAGAAAAACAAATTCCCTACCTAACACATTAGGGGGGAATCCTGCCTCAGAAAAGTCTGAGCATCAGACACTTGGTTTCCTGTATTTTGGGAAGGTTTTTTTTACTTTCAGTTTGCGGGAGACACAACTCAGGCACCATTGAACAGTTTAACATCTGAGTGAGATCTAAACTTTGACAAGATAAGATTCTGTTGTGGGATGACTTTTAAAAATCATATACACACGATTATGTATGTTGTTACTGAGGCTGAAAACACCAATTATTATAGCATTATCTTAACAAAATGTAAGAATAATTTCTGTTTACAAATAATATAAGCGTAAGTAAAACTCAACAGAATCAATCTTGCACTGAGCGGGAACAACATCAACTGGAGCTGAAAAAGGTCCTGGCTGTTCTTTTGCGTCATACCAACTTGTACCACAGGATGGTGTCCTGACTCAACCAAGGCAAGTCACTGAAAGCATTCCCATGCTGTTTTCCAGACACTCCCGAGTTAGCCTGTTCCAGCTTTAAAGTCAGGAAAGTGAGGAAAAAACGTGATTCGTTTTCTACTGTTTATATTGAAGGCCGCCATCTTGGATTGCTAACTTGTGGTTGGTGAGGCTGCTCTGACTCTCTGAGTAGGAAATCCAAGTTGAGTTGGCATTCCAAAATCTAAATTCCGACTTAATCTGGATCACACCATTATTTACAGTGGAAGCATGGGAAAAGGGAAAAACCTCTTGGGAAAAAAGGAGGATTGGGCTTCTAAGAAACAGCAAAAGCGAAAAGAACAGCAATACACAACGAAAAAGTGTTATGTTGCCCTCAGTGATAAAAGTCTGAATTAACATTTTCTGAAAATACTGAAAGCAAGTTAGTAAGTTGCTAGCTAGCACACTAGCAAATGTTAAAAAAAAAAAAGAGCAAAACAGCCAAAAAACCTCTCTAAACAAGACTGATGTGTACTGAAATCAGTGCTCGGGAATGTCATTTCCTCTTTACAACAACACGTTGTGTTTTAACACAGAGTTATTTATGCACACATTCATACATTTTTCTACGATACTATGGTTGTAGTGTTATTGCCAGAGGCTAAGTCTGGGTGAGTGACTCCACTGAAGCCTCCCTGCTTCCTGGCACTAAATCATTCATGTTCCTGCTTGGATGGTAATACACTCTTCTTTGATCACCAAAAGAAATTTCAGCTCAGTGTGTATGTTTAGTGATGTTATACGATTTAAAGACTGTGAAAATTAAAAGCCTGGTTCTGAAGGGAAATAATTTCATCTTACTGTCATGACCTTTACCTTAAGGAAATTTACAACCTAACCCAAGTTTACCAGAACAAAGTCAAAGACCCCCAGGGTGTTCGGCCGGGAGAGGCCAGGGAGACCTCGAGGCTTTGAAACCCGTCTATCAGCGTTGACAGACGGGCGAAGTGGGAGTGACAGACGACTGCTGTGTTAAATGCCCCCACTGCTACAGGCTGCAATAAAGTACGCGAACTCAAACCGGAAACAAGTTTGTTTGTTCACGAAACTAAAAGTCCATCAAAAATCTAAAAACTATTCAACTGAAAATTTTGCTGATTACTTTATCACATCATGTAGGATTATAAACGCAATTCAATTAACTCCCCAAGCCTTCAGGGATTTTTTTTTGTTACACAGTAAAATTTGCTTCCTAAAAAACAAAACAAATGTCTGTTTACGTGTGAGGATTTCCTCTGAAATGAAATGTGTATAATATGATAATATAGTAGCACAGTCCAAGGACAAGTACAACTACGTTCAGCGAGGAGATTGTTATGCTTGGACAAATTAGTATTCCGGAGTATTGTGATATAAATTTTAGTGAGCAAAAATATATATTTGATATAATTCAATGTGTTCTTTACGATGCAAATTAACTTCAAAACAAAAGTTCCCTCTAAAGTTTCCGTAGCATAAGACGAATAAAACAATAAACTAACCAAGAAATAAAATTATCTGTTGCTGATTTGATAACCGTGTTTTTTTTAAATAACGTCCAAAATGTGTAAATAATGCACATTTGATTTTTTTTTTTTTAATAAAACTCTTTTCCATTGTTTTGTACATTTGTGGGTACAGTCTGTCACGCCTGTGTGACTGCATCAAGAGTAATTGATTTTCCAAGAAATAGAAAAGTCTAAAGGCAAAGTTGTCTGTTACTAATAATATTATTATTTTTATTATGATTATATAAATATGGCTCTTATGGTGATATCGTTATCGTGATTGTCTCCAATAGCGAGAATTTGACGGAGGCAGATTTATTTTGGCAATTCTGACCGGATGTGCGCTGTTTCCGCTCGGAACTTGACAGCCTGTGGAGAGGCGGCGGATTGCGAACAGGCTGGCTGAAGGACTTGAGGTCTTCTGCGGACTCAGTCGGAGCAGGCGGGACTGAAATAGGTTAGAAAAAAGTTCCCTCGGAGTACCTCTGCGGTCGGCACGAAGCACGGAGAGACGAAGCGGGAGTTTCTTTTTTCTCGAGGTGAGTGATTTTATCCTGGCAGGGCGCGAT